TCTGCTGGGAACTGGCCTGCAGGGAACCAGCCTGCAACCCAGGCATGTGCCCTGACTGGGAATTAAACCGTGATCCTGTGGTTTGGAAGCCTGTGCTCAATCCACTAAACTACACCAGCCAGGGCACAAGCAGAGCAATTTAAAGAATACACCAGGACTTTTGAATTCTCGGGGCAGGCCTTCTCTTTCTGGCTTTAAGATCATTTGAGCTCTGCTCTCTCACATGCAGGTTTTCCCTCTTCTCTTCCTCCCTGACACAGGGCAGCAAAGCCATAACTCAGACAGACTGGTAATGGCTTCCCAAGTGCTTAGTCAAAGAGGATTCCGAAATTGGTGCGCTTCATGAGGAAAGCGCCTGTCTAAAGATTTTCAAGGATGAAGCAAGAGTAAATTCCCTTTCTTTGAAATCCCCAAGCTGTTAGCAGAGAACTCAGAACACGGAGAACCCTGCCCCAGATGAGAGGATCTGTAAATTACAGCTTCTCACCACTGCAGGTGGGCCCTGGGGCTGTGACACTGTGACATTTGCCCTGAGAGGGCATCCAGGCCAACCCCCCCCCCCCCCCTGCCTAAATACCCCGCATCTAATCTGTTACCACTTGGGGAGGGGGAAGTACAGCACTTCCTTCCCCGCAAGGAGCAGCCTGGCCTAGGAATGTGGCTTGTGTTTCAGGTCAGCCTGGGAAGAGTGCTGCGGGCGCTCTTAGAAACCCAGCTGACTAGGTAAGTAGATTTCATCATCGAGGGAAAGGGGCCACGGGTTCAGGGGCTGAACTGTCCGTGCAAAAGAACCCACCAGGCCTCTTACACTGTATTGCTAAAAGCCAGTCATCCACTTACATTTTAAACAGATCATTTGCACCTAATTTCAAACTACTGCATTAAGATCAAGTTACATCAGCTTCCACTTATGGCCTGCATTGTAAAGCGATGGATGCTGAGGAGCTTGTGGTACCCACAAAGAGTTTTCCCAGGGACCAGTCCACGGTGATGATCACTGAAGAGCATTTGCTATAGGCTGTCTTACACCTCTGTTGCTTCTGGAATGCTTTCTTACCTCTGCTTATCTCCACTTTCCCCATAGAGCGCTTTGACCTTTTCTTGCCCTCAGCACTCCCCACGTTGGGACAAGCCTGTCCAGCCTTCAGTTGTGTATTACAAGTTCATTCATGTTGTCGGTGCACACTGTTTCAGTGACGCCTCAGGAGAAAGTGGCCCAGCACAAACCACCAACAGTGACAAGAAAACTGCAGGATTCAGTGGAACTTCCCCTTGGCTGAGGGAGTCCTCATTTCACCTTTGGACCCTGAAGGCAGCCTCTCCGTGGAAGGGCTCTCAGCACCTCCATCCCTCATACCTACCTCCTGCCTCCACGGTGGCCACTTAAGTTTCAGATGAAGCCTGGTGTCCGGTCACATGGGTTTCAGACAGATCTGACGCACCCCGAATTCTGCCTCACCTCAGCCTTGTTGAACTTCAGCAACATTTGAGGCCAGGGATGGAATCCTGCTTTTCCCACCATACCTGGTGCACGTATGACCGTGTCCCGCCCCTCACAAAGTGGAAAAGTTGAGCTCCTGGGGAAAGCCTTTATAACTTGGTAATAGTGGTTAAGTCTGCCTCATCTGAAAGAAATTTCTATTCTTGGACTCAGAGTACTCAGTCATGAACACGAGGATTCCTGGTCAGGAAAGAGACCTTTCCCACTAGTTGCACGAGGCCCGACTTGTGGGCATCAGGTTCTGCCTGCCCTTCCGTCTCCCGACTGCCCCCGTGACCTCTCCTGAGGTCGGCCGAGACCCCCACCAGGCAGCCAGAGGGACAGCGGTAATCCTGCCCCATGTCGGGCAGGGCATTTCCTCGCAATGAAAAGTAGCCTGCAGTTTAACAGCATAGGCCAAATTGTGAGTTCTTTGGTCGTGATTCTTATTGTAAAAAAAAATAAAGTAAAATTCTTTGCTTTTGGAACTAGTCCAATTCTGTTGGATTTGGAGTGACTTTTATGTGGTGATCTTTTTGTTTTTGTCAATGTAAGAATGTCCAAACCTGTAGAGAATTTTTAGAAGAATTTATGAGCCAAACTGATGAAAAATTGCCTGGAGGCAAGATCTCATGTTCAGGGAACAGCTTTGCAGTTTCTTATACATTTAGAAGTAAGGGGGGAACTTAGGGAAGATTACATGAAGGCGGAGAACCAGGTCCAAAACAGTTAAGAAGATTATGTGCTCTCTGGAGGGTGGTTAGCCTTGAATTGTCTGGAAAAGAGGATTACTGGCATTCATGACCTGCCCAGGTGGGAATGTATGATGCTGTTCACCCTGTGAGGTTACTTTCTGTTAGATTCATTATAACTGCCCCTTTTGGTCCACATTACCTTCAGAGGTTTTATTTATTTTTACAGAGAGGAAAAGGGAGGGAGAAAAAGAGGGAGAGAAACGTCCATGTGAGAGAGACATATCGATCAGTTGCCTCTCGCATGTGCCCCAGCCAGGGACCAAACCGGCAACCCAGGCATGTGCCCCGACCAGGTGTCAAACCGGTGACCTTTCACTTTGCAGGGTGATGCCCATCCAACTGAACCACACTGGTCAGGGCTTTTCATCTGCACTGAAGCTGTGGTCCTGATTAGCAGCTGGCACCATCTCATAATGGGAAGAATAGGAGAGGAAAATGTGTATTTGCCTTCTCTCTGTGTGGAAGGGGTTTTACTTACCCTCCCAATAGCCATGGCTTCCTGGGGCCAGGCTTCACGGAGTGTTTTTCTCCCCCAACTTTTAAATGGTAGCTTATATTTTAAAATAAACAGAACCACTGTGTGGCCAAACAAAATGTGGTTACAAGTTTGAGACCTTCAGATTTAGGTGTTCACATGGTCACAAGATGGTTCTGTTGTTCGGTAAAGAAATATAGATGTTATCTTCAAAAGCACGTGGATGGTTTGAGGTTATGTTGGTCTGAAGCCATCCTCGAGGGCCCCGCTGTGCTTCAGTTCGGTTCTCCTTAGCAACTGAAGTCTCCCTAACACAGCGCCTTCCCCACGGTAAGAGCTCAACTAGACAAGGCTCTTGGTCTCTGCTTGTGCACAACTTTGGCTGGTGGTCGTTTTGGTGGCTCCGGTTCCACCTGGTCCTTGTGGTTCCAGTCTCAATGCAGGCAACTGCCGGGCCACTGAGCTTCGATTCCAGGTTCCGGGGACCGAGGCTTCAGTTGGTTCCCACTGGGTCGGGCTGGTCCCCCCCGTCCACCCCCACTGGTTTGGTTAGCTGTGTCTAGGGAAGAACAGTGGTGGCATATAAGGCTTCCCCTTCCAGCCTAGAGATGGCAAGTATGGAGTGTGGCGGGTGTACCAGAAGGGACGTGTGGACTGGGAAGCCATGGCAGGGATCACTTGGTACATCCAAACATTCATTTCTCCCCTGAGAGAGACAAGCAGCAGCTTCTTTTCCACTTCTACATTTTTGTCGTTTCCAGTTGAGAAGTACAGAGCAACCAGATAGCTCCATTACCTACCTGTAGCATAGAAAGGTCAAGTTTGTGTTCTCTAAAGGACTACTGACATTCCCAGGAGCTAAGTTGGATACAGGCAGTCCAGGAGCAGCCGCTTCTCAGTCAGCCGTTTCCAGCAGGTTCCGCCTCACCCTGCAGAAAGGCTCAGCATCTACGAAGCACATCCCGGGCAGGCTGGGGTGGTGCAGAATCCAAATATCAGGAGGATGAAGGCATTGGGGCGTGTCGAGGGAGTGCTTCCTTAAACAGGTCAGGCCTCAAGCGACAGATTTAGAGGACGTAGCAATGACAGTGTAGCCCAGGGGTCACGTGACCTCATCCTTCTTGCCAGATTTGGCCTGCTGCTTGTTTCTGTAAAGTTTTATTGGAACACAGTTATGCCCATTTGCCGACTTATTATCTGGGCCCATTCATTGCCCTGTGGTATCAAGAGTAGGGGGGTTGCAACAGAAACTGTGCGGCCCCTCCGTAGAAAAAGCTCACCCACCCGTTTCAGTCTTTTCCCTGAGTGTCTCCCGAGACTGGGAGCAACAGGCGGGATGATGTGAAGTTCTCGGGGGAGAAAAGGAGGTATTTTAGAAAACTGTCAGGTAAATGCTGGTAATTCAAAATAGGAAGTCTTCTTTGCTGTTTTACCCACCTTGAGTGGTCGAGTGGATTGCTTGGTGTTCCTTTGGGGTTTTTAGTTGAGATTTGCCAGACGAGAATTTCTGCACTTGGGTTTCTGAAAGTGTCCGTGGAAGGTGACTGCTTCCCGCCTAAGTAATTTGACTAGATTTTTAATCCACCATCTCAGTTTATGTCTTTTCAGCAAGCCTCTCTCTTATAGCTTTATTACTTTATGAAAGGAGTGCAAGTCAATTATTTAGAAATTTGGGAAATGCCTCGTGGTACATGGAAGGAAAATAAAAATTTCCTCTAATTCTGTCATTGGAGCGCCTTTCACCTGTGGAGTTAGAGCTAATTAACACTGGATATTAGGTATCAATAATCTTCTCACAAAGTCAGTAGCATATACCTACAGTTTTACATGATTTTATGTTCCTGTATAGTGAACCTTCTCATATCATTAAGTATTCTTTTTTAACATAATTTTTAATATTCCATAGTATTTTCACTTGTATGTTCTGTGAGGTACTTAACTCCTATTGCTGTCTGTTTTTATTGTTTCAGAAATATCACTATGTTTCTCTCTGATTGTTTCCTTGGGATAAATTCCTTGGATTGGAATCACTGGCTCAAAAACTCTGAGCATTTATTTTTTAGGCTTTCAGTAGACTTTGCCAAATTATCCTCCGCACCTTGCCAATTTATATCCACCAGCAGGGTATGAAAGCGTCCAGATTTTCGTAGTAAATGGAAGGGTTACTGCGTTTTTATCTGAAAGGCTTTGATAGGTTAAATATTGGTGTAGGTGACCTTAACCTCAGCCACTGCCTGCTTGAATGCACATGTTGAGTGACTGTGTTATTTTGGCTTCTTTTTCCTTGTAGGCTCCCCCTCCCAAACCACCCCGCCGGCAAGGAGGCTGGGCAGATGAGTCCATGAAGGCTTCAAAGTGAGTACCAAGAGCTCAGGGACGGGAGGGGAGGGAGGGGAGGGAAGGGGAAGGGAGGGGAGGGGGGGTTCGGGTGGTTTGCTCCTGCGTTATTCTTCTGTTTCTTTGTAATAGCTTTACTGAGATATAGTCATATACCTTATCATGCACCCATGTAAAATGTACAGTTCAGCCATTCTTAGCCCCGTCACAGAGTTGTGCTGTTACCACCGTATTTTTATTACCTTCCAAAGAAACCCCTTACCTGTTAGCAGTCGCTTCCCACGTCCCCCCCGTCTCCTCAGTCCTAGGCAACCACCGGTCTGTTTTCTGTCTTTCCAATATGCCTGTCCCAGACGTGTCATGGAATCACGCGGAACGTGGTCTTCTTGTGACTGGCTTCTTTCACCTGGCGTAATGTCATCAAAGTTCATCCATAGTGTAGCATCGTGTCGTTCTCAGCGTGATTTTCTAAATGGATGAGGTTGCCTGCCAGTAACTACTGGATTATAAGGCGTTTTGGTCTTTCATTCCTTGCACTAAGTTTTAGATGAAAAGTAAACCAAAAAAGTATTTACTGCGCCAGTGGGCTGGCCAGCTCTCCAGTTTGACAACTTACAATAAATACACTCAGGAAGGGAATTTCTTTTTCTCAAGGAATACACGTGATTCTTGTTCACAGTTTCCTTTAGCAGGAAATTTCCTTCAGCATTCGTGGCCTTCAAAGTAGCACTACCAAAAATATTTTTTCAGTTCTTTCCCTCTTCCTCCTGCCTTCCTCTCCCACCTCTGAAAACACCCACCCCCCACACACTTGCCCCCTCTGCCCTGAGTCATTTGAAAACACGTGCCAGTGGCCATGACATCCTGCCTCTGGAGACTTCAGCACCTCCACAGATGACAGGCATCCCGCACGTGATCAGGGTCATCATCCCATCCCAGAAACTTCATAATGACTTAGTAACTAGTTTAAACTTCCCCAATTGTCCGCAAAAGGTCTTCTAATGGCTTCAGGACCCAGTCGCCGTTCAGACACTATGTTTGGTAGTTCTGTCTCTTAGTCTCTTGATCTAAAATAACCCCCTCCCAGAACACTGACTTTCTTTAGAATCTCAGCCAGTTTTCTCATTGAATTGCTAACCTCCTCCATGTTTTCTGGTTATTCCTCATTATTACATTCCCGTTACTGGTTTTTGGGAAGGACAGAGGGTAACGTGTTACAGGGGTGTTTGACCAGCGGCCTGCGGGCTGCATGCAGCCCAGCAGGGCTGTGAGTGTGGCCCAGCACAGAATCATAAATTTACCCAAAACATTACAAGATTTTGTGTGTGTGTGTGATTACATGTCGCAATATGTGTATTTATTTATTTATTTAATACATTTTATTGATTACGCCATTACAGTTCTATTACCCCCTTCATTCCCCTCCACCCTGCACACCCCTCCCCCACTATTCCTCCCTTTAGTTTATGACCACGTGTCTCAAGTTCTTTAGATTCTATATTTCTCATACTATTCTTGCCCTCCCCCCTATCTATTTTCTATCTACGGTCCATGCTACTTATTTTCTGTACCTTCTCCCCCCATCTCCTTCTCCCACTTCCCTGTTGCTAACCCTCCATGTGATCTTCATTTCTATGGTTCTGCTCCTGATCTAGCTGTCCTCTTAGTTTGCTTTTGCTTTAGGTGTGGTTCTTAGTAACTGTGAGTTTGCTGTCCTTTCACTGTTCATCTTTTTTATCTTCTTTTTCTTAGGTAAGTCCCTTTAACATTTCATATAATAAAGGGTTTGGTGATGATAAACTCCTTGAATTTGATCTTACCTGAGAAGCACTTTGTCTGCCCTTCCATTCTAAATGAAAGTTTTGCTGGATAGAGCAATCTTGGTTGTAGGTCTTTGGATTTCATGACTTGGAATATTTCTTTCCAGCCCCTTCTTGCCTGCAAGGTCTCTTTTAAGAAATCAGCTGACAGTCTGATGGGAACTCCTTTGTAGGTGACTGTCCCCTTATCTCTTGCTACTTCTAGGATTCTCTCCTTCATTTTCATCTTGGCTAATGTAATGATGATGTGTCTTGGTGTGTTCCTTCTTGGGTCCAACTTCTTTGGGACTCTCTGAGCTTCCTGGATTTCCTGGAAGTCTATTTCCTTTGCCAGATTGGGGAAATTCTCCTTTATTATTTGGTCAAATAAGTTTCCCACTCGTGGCTGTTCCTCTTCCCCTTCTGGCACCCCTATAATTCTGATGTTGGAATGTTTAAAGATGTCCTGGAGGTTCATAAGCCTCTCCTCATTTTTTTGAATTCTTGTTTCTACATTCTTTTCTGGTTGGTCATTTTTTTCTTCCTTCTGGTCCACTCCTTTGATTTGAGTCCCAGTTTCCTTTCCATTACTATTGATTTCCTGTGCATTTCCCTTCATTTCAATGCCTTCATTAGTTTAGCCTTCATATGTTCCTCTAAATTGTGACTAAAATCTACCAGTTCTGTGAGCATCCTGATCACCAGTGTTTTGAACTGTGCATCTGAAAGTTTGGCTATTTCTTCATTGCTTAGATTTATCGGCTGTGGGGCTCTAAATTCTTCTTGAGCCATGTTTTGATCTGTTCGTGCCTGTTAGGTATGAGGAGCGGAGCCTTAGTTGTTTATCAGGGCGGGGCCACCCAGGTTGCTGCTTTGTGACGCTGTATGTGGGGGCGGGGTCAGAGAGGGACAATGGCGGTTCCCTCTGCTGCTTCCTGCCACTGGGGCCTGCATGGTCTGTCTCACCATTCCCTCCTTCACCGGTTTATCTGCGAGCAAATGTGTGACCGTGGTCAGCCCTCAGTTGGTCCACCTGATTCTCCACACCTGGGATCCGCCCACGGCTGCTGGTGCACCTGGGTCGCATGCCCGGGGTTGGTCCAGTGGATCTTTCCTGCCCGACCCTGCTCTGCTGCTGGCTCTTCCCCTCTTACTGGTTTGGCTGAAGGGTTCGTTGTTGTCAGACTTCCGTGAAGTTCAATTTTCTGTGGTTTTGTTGCTAAAACTTTGTTGTTTTTAAACTTGGTTGTGGGAAGAGGCACAGTGCTTCCACCTACACCTCCATCTTGGCGGACGTCTCACAATATATTTAACGTGTAGCCCAAGACAACTCTTCTTCCAGTGTGGCCCAGAGACGCCAGAAGGCTGGAGAGCCCTGGGGAGAAAGACGCACTGAGAGATGCCTCGCTCCCACCGTTACCCCTGCCGACTCACTCCCATCCATCCCCGTTGGGTTCATGTCCAGCTTATCCTTTCTCTGCGACCTTTTATAAAAAATAAGCATGCATATATGAATTTCAGAATGTATCCTTCTTTGTTTCCGTACATTTAGATTCAACAAACAGTGGCCCAGCTACTTTTCTAGATCATTTTTTTGGAATAAGAGCGTACCCTAAATCTGACTTTTGAAATTTAGATTTCTGACCCATGTGGAATTAATTTCAATGTATGGTAAGGCATATGGCTCTAGTTTTATCTTTTTCGAAATGGCTTTTGTCCCAACACCATTATTATAAAAATTCTTCTTTCCCAGGGAACTCAGAAGCCACCTTCACCGTATTCTACGTTTGCTTATCCACCCAAGTCTGCTTTGAATTTGCTACTCTGCTCCATTCATCTCTCTGTCCATTCATGTGCCATTAGGTACCACATTCAACACAACACTAGTTTTTACATTTATTTATTTATTTCTATATATTGATTTTAGAGACACACACACAGAGCGAGACATTGATTTGTTGTTTCACTTATTTGTGCATTCATTGGTTGACTCTTGCATGTGTCCTGACCAGGGATCGAACCTGCAACCTTGGCAGGTTCTGCATATCAGCATGATACTCTAACCAGCTGAGCTACCTGGCATGAGCCAACACAGCACTACTTCTCAGTATTAACCAAGAAGAAGGCGACTCTGAAATGTAGGTCTCATATATGACCAATGAGAGTCTTAAAGAAGAGCTCCATTTTTCTAAGTTATTAGAGAATTCTAGTGCTTTTAATGTCTGGAATTTGTTTTGAAATATGAAAATGAGACAGATCCTATATCTGCTTCTTAAGAGAACTGAAGAGGATCTCAAGTGTTTATTCCTCAATGAACACACTAAAGGTTTTTCCAGATGAAATCAGTTTCCTCTTGGAGAGACATGCTTTTCCCTTTCATGGGTTATTTTTAAAGGGATTCACTGGCTTGGCTCCTCAGTCCGTGGCCTAGTCCTGACCCCTTGAAATGTGGGCGTGCCCAGGGCTCATCCTTGGACTTCCTCTCTTCTCTGCTAACAGTCATGCTTGGTGTGACCTCGACTCAGCCTCAGGAGTGTAACTGTCACTCAGACACTGATGACTCGGAGCATGTTTCCCCAGCCCAGTCCTGCTCATGAGCGTCCAGCTGTCCACGCGACGTTGCCACTTGAATACGCAGCTCAGTCCTAGCACGTCCAAGTCGGCCCTCTTAATCTCCACCCTTCCACTCCGTCCCCTAACCCGTGCCTGGCAGAGTCCTCCCTGGAGCTCTGTAAATGGCAGCCCCTCTGCCTCGTCACTCAGACCCTGGGCCTGGGGATCGTCCTGGAACCCTCTCCTCACCTTCACGCCTGTCCAGTCTGTCTGCACAGCCAGTGCCCGGCCACAGCTGCCACCATTTCTAGCACTGACTCGAGTGAGAACCTCCTGTCACCCTTTCTTTCAACCCACGTCCCTCAGCCCTAATGTCCACAGAGCAGGGTGGCCCTTTTAAAACATAGGTGAGGTCATTTGACCCGCCTGCGTGGAACCCTCCATTGGCATTTTCCTGCCAGTCAAACTAAGCCCCAGAGTCCTCACCATGGCTCCCAAGGCTCCGCCTGACCTCGGTTTACGTAAAGTAGCACCTCTCCTCGCTCCGTGGTTTCCTCTCCTGCTTTGTGTGTTCACACATGTGACGTGTGCATATGTACATGTGTGCCTGACACATGCACACATTGTCTTTTTCTCTCTGCTGTAATGTAAGCTCCATGAGTGGCG